AAATATATTAAAATATATAAGATATACATTTATATATATGTGTTTGATGTATATACCTAGGCAAATTCTGACTTTGTGTCAGGGAAAGATTGCACCATCCTCCCACCTGCCCAAGAGCGCTGCATGCTGGATTCATGGGAAGTGCTCTGACAAGTGCCCTGTGCTACAGTAAAGTGTAGCTACATCCAGATTCGTGCTGGAGCCATGCTAGACATCGTCTTGAAAAAATCTCTTCTCTTGGTGACTGACCCAAGGTGTAGGCCTCTTAGCCGTAGGCAGGAGCCCTTGTCATTGACCAAGGCTCTGATGTGCAGAAAGACTGTGCTAAAGTGAAGTAAGAAGGTAGAAAAGAAAGTCACGTGTGGTTTAGTAGAGCTTATGGGCTTGTTTAGGTTTTTTATGAAGGATTAGAATGTTCTAGAAGATAGAAGAAGCTTTTAGTCTAAATGAGGCTAATATTTTTAATAAAGTTCTTTTAAAAGCAAATCTTTGGAATACTTTTGTTTCCCTAAAGCTGGTTCTTTGAACACTCGTGTCGGAAGGTCAAAATGAAGAATCAGTATAAGTTTCTGTACTACCAAATCAGTTATACAGTAACTTAAATTTTATGTAATGTTTAAAATAGGAAAGAGCTAACAATTGCATCGGTTATATTTTATTATGTTTGTGTATGGATTACAGGAACTGAAGTATGTTTAGTGTTTGGCTAACAGTTCAGCAAAGAGAAAGCTTTTCAAGTTAATTTTCTGAAAATCTTGGATCAGCCACATTAAAAAATGCAAACAAATATTTTTCTTCAGCATCTCGGGTTAGATTTAGGTTACATTAGATTGCTTTAGGTTAGATTTAGATACAGGAATGACATCCTGTTCCCAAGAGACTGGCTAACAAAATGTTTGATTATTTTAATACACTTCAAGGTCTGGAGATAATGCTCATCATATTTTTTTTTTCTTTTACTGCAGAAGTAAACCACTAATTATGTGAAAATGATTCCAGCATCCTCCTATAATGCTTTTCAGCGCTGAAGGTAGTTCTTACATTGTTTCCATGATCTGAAACACTGGATTGCCTTCAAAAGGTATTTTTGTACTTGTAGAAAGAAGTGTAAATATTTTTAAGTGAAAATATTTTTTGATTGACACCTTCTTAACAGGCTTTTATAGCTGCTGACCTTGACATTTCAGTAAGTCTTATTAAAGGAATAATTTTAGTATAAACTTCATTACTCTTTTTTAGTCTCTATATTTCTGACTTTCATTAGTGTGTTATATAGTTTCTCTCTTATTAGTTGTTAGTCACTCTATTTAAATCTTTTTTTTTTTTCTTCAGTCAAGTAGATGGATAGCATTGAAATTTATTTTTTCGGAGTGACTGTAGGGTTCGTAGAATGAGAAGGATTTGAGGGGTTTTTTTCTTCTGCTTTAAACATTTTCCCTCTGGTGGATGATGATGCATTTTTTCAGTCACTTCCATTCTTGTTGCTCACTGGTAAACAATACACTATTCTACATCAATGATGATAATAGACAGCAGTTCTAAGGGGAAAAAAGTAATTGGAATAGGAATGGGAGAAATAAAGCAGTGTGTCTTACCATCATATAGGACTTTTAAAAGTCCTAGATGGTTTTCTAAGAATCAAATTAGTCAAATTGTTTTGCTGGCCCAGAACTGCAAGGTGAGTTTTTTTGGGGGTGAGGGGAAGGTGTTCCAGGAATCTACATAAGATTTTTTCAAAGCAATTTTGTCACTTAGGGCAGAAATTTCACACCAGACCCTAACACTTATTTTTGAACCATTGGAGAGTTGAAAAATCATGCCCTCTGTTTTTTCCTGTCTTCTCACTTCTTTCAAAATGTTTTTCCCTGATGTATTTGCTCTTTATCTTTACTGTATTTTTATTGCAGCAGTATTGAACCTGTATTGAAGGATGGTGCTAAGCATGGGTAACAGAGCAATGTTCCTACTATCTTCCCTGCTTTTCCTGTGCCTGTGTTTTCTTTGTGTTGTTTGCATTTAACCCTTTACTTTCATTCTTGGCAACCAGTTTCTTTTTGGGGGTGATGTTGCTGAGAAAAAAGGCCTTTGTGAATAGGTTTCAAGCATCTAGCTCCAATATAGCACACTACAAGTAGATGAAGCTCTGATAACTTCAATGGGGTCATGCTGGAGGTCCATCCCTGCAGACAGCAGATGGAACTGGATGTCATGCCAAAAGAGAGGTGGCGTCTGACAAGATGAAGTTTTTTCTCTGGAGATTGAGACAATAAAGCTGTCTTAGCTCATTTCAATTAGAAATGACCTTGCAAGAATATCAGTCTTTCAGAGTTTCTTGGATCTGGCCTCTAACCTGCATGTAAATTTGCTCTTGCAAAAAAAAAAAGCATAGGTTAAAAAAAAAAAAAAAGTAGGCAGCCAGTGGAGCTTGCATCAGGAGCAGAGAAGTCACAGTCTGGTGTCAGGAAACAAGAAAGGAATGAGAGAAGACTGTGCTTTGGTTGGAGATAGCAGTTTTTCAAACAATCACTTACTGTTTCTCAAGGTCTGCAAGTTCTTGGTAAGGGTAAATGCTGCATCAATGGAAGAATGAATGACAAGCTGAGTTCTGTCAGTTTATTGTCAGTGCTGGATGGAGTAGTGACATTTCAGTGTTTGTATGTGAAGAAGGAACATAATTTTGAAAATAGACTCATTTCTTCCTAGTAAGGGAACATGACCTGTTCAGTAGGAATAACTGACAGTGTTACTGTCTGTCCTCTCTTGCAAGACCTCTTGGACAAGTTAGCATCATTTCATGACTACTCTGGTAGGAAACTTCTGAGAAATCAAGAATATCAGAGAATGTTAGGTTCCTTTCCTAAAGGTGTCAGCAAGTCCCCTTTTTCTGTGACTTTTTCCTCCTAATCTTTCCTAAGCCTGTGGTTAGAGTCCTTGGGGAAGAAGTGCCAGACAGACTTTTGATTCAGCAGTTGAGATTCATGTATGCTCAAATTAAGTGGGAGGAAATACTAAGTGGAGTTCTGAAAATTTTTGTTTGCTTGCCAAGTTCCTAAAGAAAGAATCTGTAAGAATGTTTACATTCAACTGAGTTGGCGAACCTATTTAAATATTTAGGATTAAATGGTCTTAGACTGCTAATAGAACTTGTCTATTAGGACTATTATTTGTGTTCCTTAACTCAATTGTACCTGTACTATGGAAGCATATGGACTAGGACTAGAACCAGGGTCAGAACTTCAGGTTCCAAGACCTAAACTCAGACTGCCAGAGTATGCTGTCCAGATTCTTAAATTGTGCTTGGATTCCAGATAAGAGATTTGTGAATGCTTGATGTAAATATTTTATATTAAAATTTGTCCTTAAAAAATGGATGTTTCCAACAATTAAGTTTTCTGCTTTATATCTGCACTTTCGATGTTTTTATTTTTGAAACACAGCTAATGAAAATGTATATAAAGTTTTAATACATGAGAAATATTTCTTGCTTACCTTTTTACTTTCTAAAGTAAGTATTGTTTTGTTGTTCTTTTTTAAGGTAGTGGGTAGCTGTTTTAAAGTAAGGTTTCTTAGTAATTATAACACATGATGAACAACCCTAATAGCTTGTCTGAAATAACCACAGTATGTTTTTCTTCTGTACCTGAAATACTCAAATATGCAGGTTTTTTGAAAAAATAAAAACCTATTTTTTCTTTGCTTCACTCTGTATGTACAATGGTTGTTTTTCTGTAGGGAACATTCATATGAGTAGGCAAATATGAATCATCACTAATATTTTAAAGGTATACAGATAAGAATGATTCTTAGGCAGGCTTAATAATTCTTAGACAATCTTAAATTTTTTTTGTGTCTGTCTTTATTTTCAGGATCCCAGGGTGAATATGTACTCTTAAATCAATTACAGGTTTTTAAAAAGAACACCTTTGCAGATGCAGACATGTGACAATCAGGATGTACTTTTATTAGAATACATGAATTTGGATAAACTGGTATAATTTGAGCCATCCCATGTAGGGCTGCTCAGGACTAAGATGTCTATGTTTGCAGAACAGCTTGAAGAAGTTGCAGGATAATTTTCTCTTAGTTATATATAAGATAAAACATGTTATAACTTTTTATTTGTGAGGACATGCAAGTGATCTTTGTTCTTGAAAGGTTAGTGCAAAACTGTCAGCGTGTTTCTGGGACTTTGAAAAGGGAGGAGGGAGGAGCAGAATCATCTCCTGTGACCAGCTTGTAGTCAGAGTTTTACAGACATTTTTCAGTGAAAAATAAACAGATTAAACATCTGGCATTCCTCAAAGAAGATGATATGTAGAACTTTCTCACTTGTTGCATAGAAGGTGCTTGCACAGCTTCAGAGCTGCTTACTCATTTTTGCAGTTTTACTGAAAATTGACTTGCATGGCTTTATGTTAGGAAATAATTCAAGGATAGTAGAGTTCTGCATGTTTATTTGGGAAGAAACATCTGATCTGAAAATCTGTTTCTATTGATGATTCACATCATAGAAGTGAAGTCATTTACAGGGCTGGCAATATTTTCTGAAACAGAGTGAGTATTTTAAAAATGCTCAGTAAACCTGAACAGACCCAAATGTTTTTCTAACATTGGTTTTCAGAATGGAACTGGAATATTTGAAGGCTTAAGCCAGAAATGAAAAGCTCCAACCAGTGTACTTTTTCTTTGCTGAAAGAAATGTCTTGGAAAATTACATCAGCAAGGTTCTAAATTTATTTTTACTGCAATAAGACGACACTGGAGTATTGCATTTAATAAAACTTCTTCCTTTCCAATCATAGTCTGATTAATTTTACTACTTGTTTGCAAAAAATGTTTTGTCCAGGCATTATTTGTTTAGGTAAGAATACAAAAGAGCAGAGTCTGTCTAACTGATCACTGTACAGTTCAATATAAAACCAAGTGACTGAGCTTTGTGTTTCTTGTTTTCTCACCCCACAGAAGCAAATACTTCTGGCTTAATAGTAAATGTCTATTGTTCCGTAAAGTATTGCTGCAGCAATGTGATATGATGATTTTAACCACAGTTCTCTCTCTGCAGGGGAACACAAGGACAAATCCATATGGAGGATGAATCTCCTCCTTCTCAAGGAGTCAGTGTCAAGGTCAGAGTGTGAATTTGTGTTGAGAATTCCATACTGCTCTACTCAAAAGGAAGAAACTTGGTTCTATTTAGCAGTAGCTTAGTACATGCTCGTAGCTTTCAAGATAAACAGAAAACTGAAACTATGGATGGGAAAATTATACTAGTGAAAGACATGTTGCTTATGTGATCCACAAAATATTAGAAGAACAATATATTCATTTTAATTAGGTTGAATTACTCCTTTGGCTTACAAGGCTGGTTTAATTTAGTATTAAGTTCTAAAGTTGTATGCTCCAGCCTAATGTTTCAACAACATAAAGTTGTTAGAATTAACTTTTGTAGCGTAATTTGATGTGAAAACTTCCTCCTGGTTTTCTCTTTTATTTTCTTTGAACGCTCTGCATATGAAACTTAATGAAACATCATTCAGATTTTGCGCTTAATGATGATGACTTTTAAGATGATCTGTATGACAAATAAAACTGAATAACCAGCTTTCAAACTGATTGCTGAGGTCAAATGAAGCATAGAAGTATTAGGAATTCTTGAGGTGTAACTGATACAACTTTGGGATAGGTAGCTGGACAACATGAAATCTCAAATTCTGGTCTAATTCTGTCTTTTGTGACTTTGTGCAATATAATGAGAGAACTGATCGCTTATGGGACATAAATATTGGCAGGCTGATAGTTCAAACTTGTTTTTTGTGGTTTTGGGACAAAATATAATGGAGAAGTGTGGGAGGGGAGAAAATCTTGAAAGATGAGAGAATATCTCTTACTGAGTTGAATGTAATAATTCCAAAGACAGGATTTAGATTATGTATAATTTTACCCTGATAAAGTTTGTTGTTATTTCTTTTGTTAAAAAAAACCAAAACCGAAACAACCCCAAACCCCAGTATTATAAGTGTTTCCTTGGGTGCTTTTTATAATAGTGGATTTTTTTCCTTCAGTGTATTATTTTAGTGTTAAGAAATGCTACAGTTTGGGGTTTTTTTAACCTGTTAATTATGAGGGTAGAGCATGAGTGCTTTGGAGAATGAGGTTACAGAAAAAAAAATTTCTGTTTAAGATGAATGCATTCTGACCCACTGTGCACTTGGAATTTAGAGCCCACATTTTAAAGAAACCAAGGTGTTACTCCACTAAGGGAATCTGTACCATTGCAGGATACCCTGACTGTCCTTTTGAACCTCAGGCTTCATCAGTCTTGAGCAAAAGTGGGATGCAGTTTTGTTTGTGCAATTGGAAGACTAGTCTGTGATGCTTTCAGTATTCATTATCATATTTTAAAATAACTGCCTAAAATCCTCCATAGAATTAATGCTAACTTCTTCACATAAAACAAATTGTTCTGCAAACAGCAGGTGAATGAGGCCTGATTCCATATGGATTCGTCTTTTATGACCCTGCTATGTGTCAGGGAGGACAGCATTTGCTAGGGTTGGCTTGGACCTGCTTGCTTGCTGACTTATTTCATAACATACAAGTCTGTCCAGCTGCGTACTGCCAAATGGGTTGTGTCAGCGGAATCTTACTTCCCTTTCACTTGCAAATTTGGCTGAAATTGGTCAGTTATTTGGTGGGAAGAGATGGGGAAAGAACTAATGTCATCAAAACCACAGCTTTTCTTTAGGGAAGATGACCAACTCTCCTTTTCCTTTTCAGAAGTGTACTATAAAGAAATGTGTGGTTAATTGCTATTTGTTTATAGATTTTAATTCAGGATTAATTTAGGGATTTTTTTCTTTAGATTCAAACATTATTTATGTTTCTGTGTACATTTTTTCATAGTAAGTGATGCTAATCAAAAAACAATAGTCTTATGACTGACATAACGTGTTTCAGCCTCCAAACTAGAATTTATTCACGTCTTTTTTTCAGAGGTAGAAAAAATTATATTCTGTAACAGATCATTTTGTAAGTCTGCTACTTGCTAGAAATAAACTGATGATGCCATTCTCACTGTTACGTGGTGAACTACGTCATGCCTGTGATATGCAAATTCTGTTCTTCTTTACCTTCTGATGTGGCAAGTAATGCTGCTTTTCTTTCATGTCCAGAGCCTGTTTTAATTTCAGTAAAGAAAATTTGATGCATGCTCCATGCAAAATTTCCTATTAAATTTTGATACTGCAACATTTTTCTGATTTATGCTGTACTAATGCAGTAGAAATGTTGTGTGAGATTCAGACATTAGCTTGACTAGTTTTAATGTCTGGAGAGATCTTTTTTCCTTTAACTAGTCATTTGTCCTTGGCTAAGCTGGAAAAAGCTTAATTATTTTTTTTTTATTTTATTATATGTCTAATTACATAAAATGCAAATATTCTTAGGAAGTTCCCAAAGATTCAACAATTGTTGAAACACAGAAGTAAATTTCAGAAGTAAAGGAGAAAGGAAAAAGTTTCTCAGGTTTTCTCAAGTTTCCATTTTCAATGCATGAAAACAATTGTGTACATTTTTCAAAGATAAGTATATTCTTGGGCAGATTTTTTGTGGCTTCTCTTAACAGTAGTTTTAGCACCAGAGGAAAAAACACAAATTACTTTCAATTTTTGAATGTATGCTTTACACTTTATGTTGGAATCCTCTACATTGAATTCAATAAGCTAGCAGTTATGTTGCATGAATATAGTGAAAATATCAATCATATTATAGTTTATTTGTTTATTTTAATGTTTTCCCTCCAAGTATTGTTCTGGAATTAAAATACTGGTTGAGAAAGGAGATGGTGGTGTTTCTCTAAATTTATCCTTTTTACTGTGCAAAGGTATACATTTCTCTCTGTCTAGGTATTTGATGTAATTTTTTATAATGTCAGGTCTTGGAGGCAACATTATTGTCAGCCCTGAAGATGCTGGATGTTGGGAAATGGCCAATTTTTTCTCTCTGTTCCCAAGAGGAGCTCAAGTTAATTCGTCAAGCCTGTGTATTTGGCAGTGCTGGTAATGAAGTTTTGTATGCAACTGAAAATGACGAGGTAATTGTCCAAGAGTTTGTATGAACATGACATATTTAGTCATTTATGTATCAAGTTATTCTGAAAGCCAGTACTATGATAGCATACCTAGAAAAAGTTGCATGCAAAAATGCCTGATCATTTTGATTGCTACTAAAACATTTTCAATTCAAATTAATGGCTTCTTACCAGAATCAGAGGATAAAGAGAAGATGGAGTTAGACATTTCTTGGAGGTGTGTAATGACAGGGTGAGAGGCAATGGACACAAGACAGATGAAATGTGGAAAATTCTGATTCAGTATTGGGAAAAAGAATTTACTATGAGAGTGATTAAATCATAGAAGGGTTGTGAGATCTTTTCATTGGAGGTGTTCAGGACTCAACTGACATGGCCTTGAGTCAACTGATCTATTTAGACCTTTGTTGAGCAGGAGTTTGGACTAGTTGACCTTTGGATGTCCTCCATTCCAACCTAAATTACGATTCTGTGATTCTCTTATAACAGGTTTTTGTGCTTGGCATGAACTGCAGTGGGTGTTTGGGAACGGGTGACATGCAAAGCACTATTGAACCAAGGAGGTTAGATTCTCTATGTGGCAAAAAGATAGCCTGTCTGAGTTATGGAAGTGGCCCTCATGTTGTTCTTGCTACAGAAGGTAAAGTATGATCTGAATATTGCTCTTTCAGATATGCCCACTTTAATTAGTCCAGCAGGTGTGAAAGATGTGTGCTGGTAATGTAAGAGAGGAATTGGGATAGTCATTCTGGGCTGTCAGGTCCAATGTATTTTCATTGGTGAACATGACATGTTTGCTAGCTGTGTTCATAGCTGTTTCTTTTCAAAAGTTTTTCAAGCTCTGCTTTGATCTTGTTATTACTTTTGGAAGTTTGGGGTTTTTTACTTTGCAATTAAGTTTGAAACTTCTGATTGCTTTTTAAATGCGTTAGTGGCTACATTATGCCCGTATGTTCTTGTGCCAACATTGTCCTTTAGCTAAAATGCATCTTTTCCCTCCTGTACCTATTGGATATGCTTTAAAGACCAGTTATATTGCCTCTCAACCTTTTGCTTTCTGTTGCATCATTGACACTATTATCCACACCATGCTAGTGGCCCTTCTGTTCATAATCAAGTATGTTATTATCGAAGAAAAATGACTAATACCGTGTTCCCAGTGAGGTTCTGTTTTAACATCATCTGACTGATGATGTTAAAATTTGTCTCTCTTCATTAATGAGAAGAAATCTTTTTGAGTAGTCTAGATTAGATGACTGAAGGTGGGTGAGGGGAATTGTGTTGTAAATATGCGACTTCTTTATATTCAGTTGCATTCCACTATTTTCTCCAGTCTTCAAGGTAAACTGTTCTGGATGCTGTTTTTATATGTCTCTGTATTCTTCTGAGCTTTGTTGCTGGCAGATCTCACTGATGCAGTCATACTCCTTACCCAGATAATGAACTGAAGAATTGTAAAAGAATAGGTCCAGAACTGATCCTTGATGATTTTTACTCATAACTGCATTCACATGAATAACTTCCATTCAGCACAGCCTCTTCTAATCTGCCTTTCAGATGGCCCTTTCACAATTCTCGTGTTAATTACTGTCATTTCCAGTTTATGTTGCATGTTTTTATGTGGGTGTTGCACCTATTTACTGAAATTTGTATTCTCGTGTTGGTGAAAGGAAGAGAAGGTTGTTTGCTTTTGACAGGATAAAGTCATTGGGTTTAACCTGTTACTGTAGAGAAATATTGGTTTAGTATAGCACATTTTGCCTTTGTAGTTCTGAGGGAACCCTTCTTAGGGTTAAGGAGTTTGACGGTCTCTTTAGAAATCTGATGGAGTTGTATGTCAAACCTAGCTCTCCTGCAATAACAGTGTAATTTATGTATGTGATGATGATGATGATAGACAAAATGAATGTAGAACAACAATTCTTCAAGTCCTGCACTACCGTAACTGGAGAACACTTGATTTAAAACAGGTGAAAGAAAAGGTGTACAAAAAGGTGTTAACATTATGGATAACTGGCCAATATACGTACATTAAAGAGAATCAGAAATACCTGATAATATCTGTACTCTACTGATTGTAAATGCTTGGAAACTGCAAAAAGTGACAATCTTCATGTTTCCCTTAAACAGCAGCATTTTTGTATTGCCAGTTGGAGACAGAATTTTGCACTAGGTGGACCATTGGACACCCAGTCAGGCGTTTCTTGCATTCATAATTTTACTAGCATGTTTCTCAAAATACAGGACATGAATAGCATGTTTAAATAATAGTATGTTTATTAATAAGTAATAATAAGTTTTTTCTTACAAGCACCTTCATGTATATTATAAAGGAATGAAAGCTTGTTGTTTGAATTTTCCAAAGTGGGAAACAGCACCAGGGCATAGACAAGAAATTTTGATTGATTGTCAGTAACAAAGAAATTGAAATAGGGACTCTTGACTCTTATTTCACCCTTTTCTCTTCTGTATTGCACTGTCTCCTTTTTTTAGCTATATGATTTCCTTTACTAAGCTTAATGTGATACTATCCTTTTGGATTTGTGATCAACGTTATGTTAAGATGGCATTGGTATGTCCATGGGCTTAAGAGCCCTAAAGGACACATGTATATATATAACACATACTTAAAAATGTATATTGTTATTGAATTTGACTTTTCAGTTTGTAATTTTATGTTGTGTACTCATTGGAAAAATAGAGTTTTTAAACCAGCTTTTTACATTTTTATTATAGAAGGAGAAGTGTATACATGGGGTCATAATGCTTATAGTCAGTTGGGCAATGGTACAACAAATCATGGTTTCGTTCCCTGTCAAGTCTCTACTAACTTGGTGAACAAGAAAGTCATTGAAGTTGCCTGTGGCTCTCATCATTCTATGGTGTTAACATCTGACGGAGAGGTGAGAATAGCTGGAATAAATCTCTCTTTTCTCTTGATGAAATTCACGTATGAGAGAAAAAGGAAAACATTCTACACCTAGACCATTAGACTTTGCTTGTTGCTATCCTCACATTGCTGATACAACACAAATACTCGATAAAAATGGAAATGCAGAACATTGATTTTTGTGCCATGTCTGCTTGTAGTAAGAAATTATAATTTCTTTGTAGAGGGCAGCCAGTTCCTTCCTATACTATACTGTACTGTGAATGCTTAATGGTGCTAAAGCTGACATTAATATACATCACGTTTGTGTAAGGAGTTCTACCTACCTAAGTAGAAAGTTTTCTGTCATTTACTTTGAGGTGCCATTTGTGTCCAGTTAACCATTCTACTTTGGCTTCTGGAAAACTAGCAATGAATTCTTCCAGCATTAATGTAACTGTCATCTTTCCTCTTACCTTTGATTGGAGGAACGTGAAAGAATGGGATATATAAATATTATGAGTGGCATGTTTTTGATAAAAACAATTGAATTGTAAACCTATGTGTCTGCCTAGATCTTTAAAAGAATATATCCACTTGAACTCAAAATACAGTTTTTTTATGCGTATAATTTTTTTTCTTGCTTGAATATGTACTTTGAACTATATGTTATATAGCCTTCTTTTATGACAATTTTCTTACAACAGGTGTACACGTGGGGTTATAATAACTCAGGCCAAGTTGGATCTGGTTCAACAGCTAATCAACCGATTCCTCGAAGAGTTACCAGCTGCCTACAAAATAAAATAGTAGTTAATATAGCTTGTGGACAGATGTGCTCTATGGCTGTGGTGGAAAATGGAGAGGTAAGAAACTTTAAGTGAATTTTCTGGCTGAATTTTATTTTATGTAGTATCATGGGATGTAGATCATTTCAAACTTGTCAGTAATGAGCTACTACTCAGAAAACAAGTATACCTTTCCAGACTCTTTCAAATCTACCTGCTTATACTGCTTATAAAAACCTTTGTCATAAATTGTCCTGCACATTCTGACGTACTTAAGCACATCTTCCTATCCATGCTGATTATGGTTTCCTCTTTAGAAAGGAGGTAGAGTGGAACAGGGAAAATTGTTCACTAACATTTGGTTTATGGCTTTTTGGTCTATGAGATTACTCATAAAATTTAGCAGGTATTATTTTGTATCAGCTATTGAAGTTGGCTTTGAATTGAAGGAATTCAAGTATCAAATTTCAAATTTACTTGAAAATACAGTTCTGAAGTAAAAATAGCATTGTGAAGGTAGGATAGGGAGATTTTTACAAATTTGGGGATTAAATCATATTGAATCCATATATGTATGCTTAGCTTTTCATACTAGCCCATTTTCTCCATGTAAAAATAACTAAGTTTGTATCACCGATTTACTGATTTTTAGAGCTGGTATTACATTCTAGCAAAAATGAAAGTGCTAAGTAATATATTACCCCACCAGTGTCTTTAGCATTCAGAGAAAAATAAATTATTGTCTATACTAGAGTCTTAAGTATCAAGAATGTGAGAATAATCAGTGAATGCTATTTTAATTTTCAGAACTCATATAGCACACTTCATCTCAAGAAAAAACAGAAAAGTACATTGTATATATATGTTCTACAGCAGTACCCTTTGAATCCCTCTTACATATTTTTATCCTCATTGCAAAGATACAAAAAGGTTGTAGTGTTCTTGTTGTTTTAGTTCATGAGAGCTGAAGATTTTGGGCAGCCTATATACTCTCCAGCTCCATTGTTCCAAGCGTTTCAGTTTAGACCTAAGTAGTTGTTGACTGTTTGAAGTAGAACATATGTCACTGAAATGATCAGAGCTTAGTATTTTCCCTTTTTCTTAAGTTCAGCATAAAGCTGCTAACAGCCTACTCAAACTGTTGTGCATAGCTTCCAGTTTATACTTGTTTTAGCGTGTTTTCTTTTCTGTTAGAGGATTTTTGAATGAGAAATTAGCTCTTTGACAAAGGGAAGTATTCATGCTGAATTTGCTCCGTGCTGGCAAACAGTGATATGAATCATCTGTTTTCTACTCCTCGTATTAAAATATTGTATTCTTACATAATCTAACTCTTAAAGAGCAACATGAATGTGGAGGTTTAGAGTTTTGGAGGAGCACGCAGTTGGTATTTTAAACAGAAGCAGCATCCAAAATTTCTGATGCAGGAAAACATACATGTGTGTATACATATATATGTATGTATCCTTAGGTGTGGGGGGGTCAGGCAATGTTAAAGACAATTATTATTGTAACTCTTTCAATAGAAGTAGATAGTAGCAAACAGTTAAAATCCCTGTCCCTGTTTTTAAGGTCTATGTCTGGGGTTACAATGGTAATGGCCAGCTTGGACTGGGCAGCAGCGGCAATCAGCCAACACCGTGCCGAATAGCAGCTTTGCAAGGCATTCGTGTGCAGCGGGTATGTGTGTGATGCTCCATGTCAAACTCTTTATGAACAACTGAAAATATGCTAGGACATATTCTACATTTATAGGAGATAATCCTTTATCTCTTTGTTTAAAGTGCGATTTATCAGAATAAAAACATGTATCTTAAAATGGACCTCTGTGGAGTTCAGTGGGAATTGTGCCATTGACTTCAGTGAGGTCAGGATTTTACTTACAGAGAACTAGGGCATTAGAAATGTTTGGTCTTTTTTTTTTTTATTCTTTCCTGTGAAAATTAAAAAAAGAAATCCTGTTCTTTTAGTAAATAAGAGAGTCTTCTTAGGCTACCCCATTCTTCATTAACCCCTGTCCTCTTTTCTGGGAAAATGCTGCAGTTCAGCGTTTTGTCTTCCTAGCAGACTGAATATTACTTTTAGAATTGACTCCTGCCAAAGTGACTAACTGGTGTTTGGAGTCTGAACAAATTGTCTCCAGCTGGTTTTGGTCAACAGTCGGTGTGATTCCATGGTTGGTCTTGATCTTGGGTGGTTATTACACTTTACCAAATAACTGGGCTGCCATCAGTGTAACTAGCAAACTGATAACTTCTTTTTCATTTTATGAAATTTATATTTTAAGTAACTGAAGAACTGATACAGAAAGTTTTAAATGGATTTATCCAAAATAGAGGATACTGTCAGGAAAATGACACATTCTGCTAGAAAATATTGGTCTTGTAAAACAGTGAAAATTTACAACAGTTTTGAACTTTGGACCATATTTATTACATTTACTCAAGGAAGTTAGGGATTTTTAAAATCTTTTAAATTAAACTAATTTAATTACATAGTTTTCCATTCAGTTCCTAGGATGTAGACAGTAGCTTGGCTGGTAACAATTGCTGTTGGAGAATAATGTAATAAAGTGAATATTATTTTCCCCTGTATTTATTCTCCTATTTAGAGAATATGAGACTTAGATCCTATTTCAGTCCACTTCATTTGCTTGATATCAATTAATACCAAGTTGTAGGCCTCTAATCAGTAAATAACTTAAGGATTTTTTTCATTTAAAGCACATCACATGCTTTGTGGATGGCAGTGAACTACATGTAGTTATGGTACAATCTGGCAATGCTTTGCCGATTATATTATATAAAGATGCATGAGCTAGATTTGAACAAAGTAAATTGGTTATTGGTAGCCATCTAGCTACAACAGTGTACATTAACTCGTGCAGAGCAAGACTGTTGCTGGTAATTTTGCCACTGTCTATCTGTATGTGGGGCATGTGCTGCATATATAGATTGTAAAGTGTGTATTCAAGCAACCTTATGCAAGGTGCCTGAGGAGGCAGCTCAGCAGGACCGAGTGGGTTTCCACAAGAGAGTATGAGCTGACACAGTTGCGTGCTGCCATCAAGATGGAGAGTTTCATCTCTTCCCTCTCTTTCCTGACTGGCTGCTCCTGTTGGTTACCTTGTGTGGGCACCAGTGGTCGTCAGGCCCAGCTCTGGAGAGTTTCCTTCCAGTGATGTAGGTTATCCCAGCGGAGGGTCTGGTGAGCACAAGAACTAGCACAGGGAGGGGGCAATTTTGTGTGGCTGGCAGGCAGGGAAGTGAGGAGTAGATAGGGAGACCTCACCTGTGGTAAGCTATTCACGTTGGAGCAGTTGCCCATAGAGCAAGGTCAGCACAATACAGACGATCTGCCTTTTTCTGCATTTTTTCCTGCATACTGTTCATATTTGTCATATAGCTTTCTTACTTTCTCAATTTCTAGCTATTATTTCACTGTACTCTTGAGATTATCTGGCAGAGTTCCTCACTGATACTTTTTTTCTTCAAAGTCACCTCATCTACTTTGCTTCCCTTTTTAATAAACTTACCTGTATTTGTAATTTTTGTAATATTTACACCAGTATAGAATCAATAACGTTATAGCATAATGTGTATCTATCTGTATTGACTTACTGTTACATAAAAATGAGATTTTTCTTTTTATTATTCCTTATAGGTTGCCTGTGGCTATGCACATACATTAGTGCTAACAGATGAAGGTCAGATTTATGCTTGGGGCGCCAATTCATATGGCCAGTTAGGTACTGGGAATAAAAGTAACGCGTCTTACCCTACAACAGTTGTTGTGGATAAGGACAGGTAATACTTACAGTCTTGCAGTCAGACATTAGTTGGCATACTCTAAGAAGAGCTACAGAAAATTATGGCATTTTTAATCTATTTTTTTGGAAGAAAAACCCTATAATTTTTTGCAATGGTTCTTCTGCTAAATGTGAACAGAATTTTCACTGAAAGTGCTTGAATCTACCCCAAAACCATCCTTGTGAAAGAGAAACTGAATGTTCTGAGCCTGAAGGTGCTATTTTCTGCTTCGGCTCACACTGTACTTTATAGGCCTTAATTGCAATTTCTCTTCAGTGGTGTAGTTTCATTGTTTGAAGTGAATGATAAAAGCTTTATTGTCTCTGAATATAAATTGTATTTTAATATGCTACTTTTGACAAGAAGTACACACAGAAAATGTGAAGAGTAGACATCTGCAATTCATGATATTTCTGCTACTAAATCCGGCTCGTAACCCAGGAGAGAGAAAGGGAGGAGTACTGGTATTGTTGCCTGAAAATTAAGCTTAGATTTTTACAAGTTAAATATTTTCCTGTAAGTTCTTGATGGGTAGTGGGACCATTTTTTCTATTGCTAATGTAAAGCCATGTATATATGTGGCCGGAAATTTGAATCTATTCCTTACTACTGAGGTCTTGATTTTGGCCTCCTGGTGTGAATAATAAGAAAAGTGAGATCTTCCTCTTAGACTTGTTTCTGTGTACATTATTGTTAAGGAAGAGGCAATTCCTCTCTGGTGATGACACATGACCTGTTTTTTATCATTGCTATTTCTTTATGTGTGTTTTGTGCTTTTGCTGTAACCAAAATTTTTCCAGCCACTTTGGCTGCAGTTAAAATGTTACCACATTTCAGTACAAGTTTTAATGTTGTATGCTGCCTTTCCCTTTTGTTGGACAGAATATGCATTCCTGGTGTCAGTGAGAATATTGCCTCACTAAAGTTTGCAGATTTGTACATACAGCTTTAAACAAGTTCTTTCCAAGCTATTTTCCCCAGGCAGCTGGGAAAACAAGCAAACAAGCAGTAGCTCAGACTGCAAAACAGTGGGTTGTGTAATGCTGTACGCAGTGGGAGTTTTGAAATCCTAAATCAACTTTAGGATTAGTGAGATAGTCTAACATAGCTAAAATACACTTAGAAACAGCTTTTAGTGCTGTTTGCTTCTGATTTTTAATTTTCAAAGGGAAAGTCCATTAAATGTAAGTAATAATAATTGTATAAGTAATGACACTTCAGTATTTTAATTAAAAGAAATATGTTTAAATTGTTGGTTTATAACTGTTACCAATAAGCAAGCAGGAAAAAGCTTTTCATTAACTTTCAATTATAAGCCAAATTAAATTCTTTCTTTTTTTTTTTTTTTGAGACTCCTGCTCATTTCCTCCTTCTTCTTCTCCAAGTACACGTTCTCTACAGCTTAATGTAGCCACTCACCTCACTGCCAAGCACCACCAAGGACATTTGGAGACTTGAAACTCATCATAGCTTTGTTTGAGGGAGCCGAAGGGATCAGTAGAGCATGTGCTGCAGCAGTTATACCAGTGTCTCCTCACTCCCAAGATGCTTATTCACTGAGAGACTTTCTCAGTGCGCGCTATTTGAAGAAACATTGATAGCCCTTTTAATTTTGCTGTGTGTGATAGGAAAACATCCTTGCAATTGGAAGCGCACACATGCTTACAAATATGTTTTGGACCAGAGAAAGCCAGGAGGTAGTGAGCTGCTTCACTGCATTTTGTTCTTATGAGAGTGACTTGCTTTTTTTCTTTGTTTGCTTGTAAATTCAGAGTTATAGAGATTGCAGCCTGTCACTCTGCTCACACGTCGGCTGCCAAGACCCAGAGCGGCCAGGTGTACATGTGGGGCCAATGCCGTGGGCAGTCAGTGATCCTTCCCCACCTCACTCACTTTGCCTGCACTGACGATGTGTTTGCTTGCTTTGCTACCCCTGCCGTTATGTGGCGTCTTCTGTCAGTAGGTGAGCTTAAATATTTTTTGCTTTGACGTCTTCTAAATAGAATCATTAGTGCATAAAACAGTGCCTGTATTTTAAGCCTAAACTTAGTTTCTTGTACAAATTTATACTGGGAAGCATAATTATCATCATATATTACATATATGTAAATGGTAATATGGAATTATAAAAATTGCTAAGGCCTGATGGCAGTGCTAAACGATTGTTTTATTGACGTGATTTATCTCTATGGGAAAGTGCCTTGGGTTTGGGGAGGGGTTTTTGTGTGTAACCACTGAATGTTACTGTAGAATGGCCACGGGTAGAGAAGCTGAGTTTGAATTTGGAGACTTCAGGGAGCCATGCAGAATGTTTAGGAACCCTGAAGCTTTCTTTGATGTCCTTAAGTAGACTACTAAGAACTGACAGAACCAAATTCCCATGTTCAGAATTGGCCACAGGCACTTTAGAGTTTCATCACAAGTGTTCATGACCTGGGCTTCTGAAGAGAGAAGTTGCTGGATCTCAGATATTTGACTAACATTAAGGTCTGTCTTGCTGGCCTTGACTAGAAAGAGTTAAGTATATAGTATTGTCTAACAGAGAGCTCATTCTTCAGCTACAAATTCAATTCCATATTGGTTGCTAATAAAGTTACTGGCTTTGCTGACCTAATCAAAGATGAGACTCTTGAGGTTGTCTGTAGGTGTCATCTGGGAGTTTAAGCTAAAAGCTAGAATGCAGCAACTTGTTAATTTGTAATTTGAACTGTACTGAGTCCATCATGCTTCCATTCCACTTCTGTGCTGCCTTTGTAATTGCCTTTGTGTTGCTGTAAGCTTTTGTCTGACAATTGTAGAACACTCTTTGCTCCCTTGGTGCCTGCTGGATGCCAAAGTAAGGCAATTCAGTTAAGAGTACTCATCTTTCAGCTTTGAGAGACTAGAGGATTAAATGGAGAGTCCTGTTCTCAGTAAACTGCTTTGCCAACATTTATGTTTTAGGGCACAGTCCAAAGACCCCATTTTCTCTAGATTGAGGCAGTTGTGCTTTCTAGGGTGACTTGTTCAGAACGGTAAGATATATGCTTTATTACTGTGGAAATTCATAATATTCCTAATATTTGCCTACTACTAATTAGATGTAAATTGTGCTACTGCACTGAAATCCCATGCAATGGGGTAGTTCATTCCATGTAAATATGTGTTTGTCAGTTTTAAGTTTTACATAAAAGTATCTGTAGTATGTTCAGATTTTTCTTCCATAAGAATTGGTTATTTTATGAAGGAAATGGGACATTAGTATATGTAGCTTAATCATAAATTCAGTTATAGGTATCTTCTTATGTATATTAGCAGGGTTCTGGGGCTCTTCAGCTTCCATTTCTTCTTGCTCAGTTAAAATATTACTTCATGCTATCAGAATTTTCCTTCCTCTTTTTCTCTTGCCTTTTCTTCTCAGTTTAGTGCAGAGTATTGAGGAATTTTTCAAAAGAGAGTGGAGGAAGGCAAGAAGCAAAAACTGCCTCTTTCCTTATTTTGTTCCTCACAGAGAAGACAACTGCTTGAGTGAGACTGAAACTGTCTGCTACAGTTTTTCAGTGCTCATTTCTGCAAATTCACCTTTTATTATTCCTTTGCAAATGCTGTTTTAGGTCAGAAATGCTGGTTTAGGTCAGCTAAAAGACTCAAGTGGGATTATATATGATCATTCATGTAATTATCATCTTTATGCTGAAGACTTCCAAGTAACCCATTTATTAATAAGCATATTGCTCATTAATACTCATAGGTATTCACTCTCTTAACACAGCGCGGTTAAGACTACATTCGTAACTATTTCCCAGCACATGTTTTATCCCCACCTTCATTGTCACTGTGAACAATACATCCAGTCTCCTTGCACTGCTTCACACCTTGGGAGTCATTTTTGACTGTAGCAGCTCCTTTTATTTTTGGTTTTTGACCTTGACTTCTTGGTCCCTGTAGAAATAATGTTGCAACACCGTAGCAGCATTGTACCAAAGCATGAGACAAAACCTTACAGGAGGAAAAGGTTATTTTATTTTTAAACAAAAAGTAATTCCAGATACACTTTCAAACCCACATTTTCCTATGTGCCAAGTGTCTGTCCAGCATTCCAGCACTAAAATGTGTATTGAGGTGATCTGAGCACGGTTCCTTGTGATCACACTGATTAAAGGATGCTGTCTATCAGACCCTCATCATGTCTCCTGGATTCCTTTTAGTTAGGTGACTCTGTGCTGATTTCAGATTTGCCTTTTTGCACGCTGTAGGAGCTGAGAGTGACTAGGCTTTTCATCCTGTCCCACCTTGGCCAGTCGTCGGGACTGACTCACTGTTGTTTGTCTTCTGATCTACATGTGGTGAGAATCATCAGGCAGCTGCATCCTATGATCTTAACATCTGCTGGACTAGGTGCCACAGACATCTGCCACGCTTACAGTCGTTCTCCATCCGTTGTATTCTGGTGCTTCCACACCCAGGCATTCCCATTCATGCTCTGTTTGTGGCAGTTCTAACTTTTCTATTACAATTCTTAGGACTGACTGCTAAAGAGTTTTCTTAGCTTTGTGCCTTGTCAGTCTGACCTGCCTCTTCATTCCCTTCCTCTGGTTCCCCCTTCACTGCTTTAACCAATAAAAGCACCTATTTTCCCTCTTATAATGTCATAACTGACCTCACTATATTCAGTTTACCTCTTCTGGCTGCAGAAGTCATCTGAAGATGTTTATTGGTGGACATCTGAGTTGCCAGTTAACGTTGAAGAAAAGCTTCAGTTTTGCATTGATTGTTAAAATTATTACTTATTTGGATAGCAGAGGTCTGAATAAACAAACCACATTGTACGAAATAAGAACTAACAAATTATTTTTACAGTATCATTATTTCGGAAGGATTTTTAATTATCATTGCATTGGATTTCTCCCCCCCCCCCCCTCCCCCCCCCCAACCCCCCCTTCCCCCCCCAATCCTTATACCTGTAATCCAACACACTTCGATAATTGTTGCCCTAATTGAGTATACCGGAACATAAGTGACATTCTCTAAATGAAATGAAAAATAATTGTGCTAAATAAAGTGTAACAGTATCAAACTATGTGTGTTAAGCTTTTTCTAGAGCTTGTGGTGAAGGTCTTTCCGTTTCCAGCAGAATACCATTCTTATTTTTAACTTGATAGGTTACAGGACCTAGTATTTATGTAATTTTCTATACAGAACAGCTTATTTACTGTCCCACAAAATTTGTATAAACCAATAATGTGTATTTATATGGTAAGAAGACAAAATGTTTTCTGGATTAAGAATGAGGTTTGAGGGGTTTAATTTTTTAATAGTATTAAGATAATTCTCTGGGTCTAACAAATATGATGGAGATTTGGAACAGTTCAGGAGATAATAATTTGTATGCAGACAATGGATGACTTTTCAAGGCTGGCTGGTAACTTTATAATGCAAGTGTCACGTGCACTGTGGGATATGCCTACATGGGATGCAAACAGGAATGTGCAGACATTCACACTGAGTAACACCGTAAGTCTAGGGAAAACACTTTTTGAATAGGCTTCGTTGGTATTTACCTTTAGGGATATTGTACTAGGCGGTTTCACTGCAACCAGTATGTTGGTTATGTAATAGCTTTATTTCTGCTGTAAGATAATATCTCCTCATGGGAGTATTTTAGAAAATCTTACTGTGAAATCTTACTAGAAAATCTTAATTTTTTTATTGACCTTTTGGATATCTTATAATAACTAATACTTTTCACTTAGAATAATTCACTCAGTAATGACTGATAGCATTTGCTATCAGATGCGGCATCAAACTTCTAAGGCTGTGTTAATTTTTTTTTTTTCTGACCTTATATACATGAGTTAGAGGAGTGGGACTAACTTTTTTTTAATAGGGATATTTGTTTAGAGTAGGAAACTAGCAGGGACTGAAGAAAGCTGCCCTGTATTTGCTTTTCTGGGTGTTCGTACTGAACACATAGTCTGTTGGGTTTTTTTACTAGGCTTAAAGAGATGTCATATTAAGATTGTTAATTGCTTACAGATACCCAGGATCATGAGAGTTACTTGTATTACTTACTATTAATTCCCTTTCTTATTCTAGAGCCTGATGACCATCTAACAGTAGCCCAGTCACTAAAGAAGGAATTTGACAACCCTGAAACTGCAGACCTGAAGTTTCTAGTGGATGGAAAATACATTCATGTTCATAAGGTTCTTCTCAAAATTAGGTAAGGCACAAACTGGAGTTGTAATAGAAATGAAACTGTATAGAGTAGTCCACTGTGCTGAGTAATTACTGCTCAAAATTCTTGAGTTAATCTTACAAACTCTCTTTTCTCTCAGCCATGGGATTCATCTGCTGTTCTTCACTGTTACTCTCTTTTTCCTCATTTCCTTGCTGCTTGGAATTACCAGTCATACTGCTTACTACCAGCCTCCTCATCACTTCCCTCCATCTGACGTATCCTCCTTCATGCTACCTAAACAGTCTTGACACTGTTTTCTAATAACCTTTTTCTGCTGCCTTCCCAGTAGTTTGAATCAGTTTTTCCTCCTTTACATGCTTGGCTTCCTCCACTGGGATGATTTGAGGGTTTTGTGTTTATTCTTGCCTTTCTTTCCTTCCACAGGACACTTCAGTTGTTTCAGCAGCTTCTGTAGTTGCTCTTCAGATTATCTTTTTTTTCCCCTTTTTTGTCAGATTTCTTATCCTACTTGTTTTAAACCTTCTTATCAGTGAATTTGAATTTTAAGCTAGTTTTTGTTTTTACAGCTTTTTGCAAGTTAACACCATTTTACAGTGAGATTTGACATACACAGATCTACAGAGTGATCACATAGTTATTAACATGCAGAGATTAGTTTGTTATTGCTGATGCAATTTCTAAGATATTCTAGAAACACTGCTTTAGATCTCTTCTGTCTGCCTAACTGCTTCTGCTCCATCCTCCTTATTGTTAGAATAGTTTTTTCTCTTTGCTATTTTCTTTCTCAAAGTGCTTGACTGTCTCATTCTGCTTATCACCACTTTTGTTGTCCTACTTTTGCTCCTGAATGCCTACCATAGGACATGGTAGAAGTGGAGCCTACAATAAACTGTTAATAACAGAAATAAAGGAAAATTCTGAATTATATATACAAGGCTTAAAGGAATTAACATGTTCAAATCATCTAGCTAGTGTTTGTGGCTGTGTATTTAGTCTGACTGGTTTATTTTTTTTTTACCAACTTCTTGTTGCAGGTTATCTTTCAAGCTTAACTCTTTACAGTATACAGTCTTCGTTCATGTTTTGTAGGTGTGAACATTTTCGTTCCATACTGAATAATGACGATGAAATTATAGAAATGAGTGAATTTTCTTATCCTGTTTACCGAGCCTTCCTGGAATACCTGTATACAGACAACATTAGGCTCCCTCCTGAAGATGCAATAGGTATTTACCATAAGTGGAAGTAGCTCTAGGTTACTGTTTCTGAAAAGTTCAATTTGTGTTTCATAACAGGATGAGGAAATCAGGGATTGTTAATTCTGGTTTTATTAGCACTTAAATCTGGAGTTTGGCATGTGTCAGGAAGAAGGGATGCAGTAGCAGGAAGCATGCCTGAGAAGATGAGTGCTGGGGATGCAATAAGATCAAAGATACAAAATGTTCAGAAAAAAACTCATTGTTTCTCCTATTAAGAACTTCTTTTTTTTCCTTCAAAAGGCACTAATGCCATCCTAAAACTTATCAGTTTGAGTAGCTGTGGTCATTTGATCATAAATAAAAAGGGAGCTGTTCCCCACATGAATTTAAGAGGATGTAAGTCACTAATTGATGCCTACGGTGAGATACAATACAGTGAACGAGAAGACAGAGCACTTACGTAGTAATAAAAGGCTCCCTTTTTGATATGTCCTCTGAGGACCTTTAAAAATGTACACATCATCTATGGGGAAAAAAATAGAACAAGCCTTTGACTAGTTCACCCTAAAACTATAGGGTAATTGATTAATTTGTTAATTAGTATGTTTTGCACCAGGATAGTTAAAGCTGTGTGAATTTTCACAGGACTTCTAGATTTGGCAACACTGTATAGAGAAAACAGATTGAAAAAGCTTTGCCAGCAAACGATCAAACAAGGCATTTCTGAAGAGAATGCCATTGCTCTTCTTTCCGCCGCTGTCAAATATGAAGCTCAGGTAAGGAGAACTTCTTTTCAGGCAAACAGTTGTTTTCTGAGAATTAAACTGTTTATATTAAACATAACTGCATTTAACTGATGAGGCATGATTACTGCGGTTTCCCTTTCTGGCTTCCAGACATTGTTTTCCCCTTTTTGAGCTATTACAAAATGCAGCTACTGGTGTTTTCTTCCTGGCCTTTTGGCTTGCACCTGTGAGTCAGGATTCTTAATCTGCTGCCTGCCTTGTCATCTGGCATGCAAATGTCTCGCTGCCCTTTACTACTCCCATCTTTGGATTTTATGTTACCTGTTCCCTTCCGGGTGAACTTCCTGAGTTCTGCAGGTGTCTGGTACAGTCATTCTGGTACCGCCTTTTCCCTGTAAAGTCCCTCCCTATTTACACTTGTGCTTATATAAAAAAATCCACTTTTGCCATGTTGTTTACCATGAATTGCACTGGCATGCAACAAATTACCTATTGTTATTCCTCTCCCTGTATCCTGTCATCTGGTCTGCCCTTGGCTCTGGAATGTTTCACTAGCACTCAACCTGTTATCAGCAATACTGCAAGAGCTTTTTTTGTAAACAAATACTTTCAAAGATGTTTTCCTTTTCTCAACTTCTTCGTGCTATGCTGATTGTGGAAATAATGATGTAGTGGGTTTTATTATTCAAGAAGTCTGAGTATGTGTTTTACTTAGGAGCCATTGTTATAAGTGAGCATCTTAGTTGAGAAGTCCTCATCTTTCTGGTCAAGATTTTTTCTGCTTTATAAGAATAAAATTAATATAGCCAAATAGAACCTATTAGAAGAGTCAAAATATGTAGCCGGTAACAATGTTTTTTAAAAATACATGTTTTTTGCTTTTGCCTGGCTGTGAAATGTAGGATGAAGTTTTAAAGGAGAGGTAAGATGTGTAACACGACAGGTTGATAAACAGTTCCTGGTATAGGAAGCAAGTAGAAAGAAGGGACTGGGGCAAAATCTGAGTTAAAAATGTTGCAGTAGTCCGTGCTGTATGGCAGCAGCGTACTAGGTGAGATGAATTTGTACAGGAGTCGCAAAGAGGAGGCCAGAAGCCAGTGAGTTTTGTAAATCAAAAGAGAGGATAACATCAGATGAGTAGACCATGAGATTATCAGCTGTTGGTTACAAGGCCATTGTAACCAAGACATCAGTAACAGACGGCATGGACAGCTGAGGCAAAGAGGAATTGTACTTTCAGTGTGGTGTGGTGGTAGAAGCCCAGTGTATCAGGGAGGACTGGAAAGGAAGGAAGGACCCAACAATCTGATTCTCCTAACAGCAGAAGTTTTCATTAAAAGTTTGGTGTTTCTCCTCTTACAAGCTTTTCATCAGTTTTGAACATCTCCAAAGTAGAAGTACCTTTAATTGACCTGTGTCAGGAGAAGTAGTTAAAGAAAAGTTAAAGATGCATTTAGATGTATTGCGAAGTAGTAAAATTAGCCTGGACAAAGTACTAGAGTTTATAATGGCTGAAACACAATAAAAGGGATTGGCTAGATGACTAAACATGCATTATCCTCTTCTTCCTTCTATGATTCAGTGTTTTCTTCCATATACCTAGTATTCTTTCAAAACATGTAATATTTTAACACGATCATCAAATGATTAATTGGTTCACCTGCCCCGGGTGCAGCATGTTCCAAACTCAGGAGTGCATTGTTGCCCTCCTCCCTACATCCAGAGTGCAGAAAGGGATACAGTAGAGCCGCTTCAGAGAAGTGCAGCAAAGACTTCTTTATCAAAGACTTCATTATCAAAGACATGGGATAGTCTCTGTCTAAGGAATTGTGAAGTAAACCAGCATCTTTTAGCGTACTACATTAATACAGTAAAAATTGGTTTGAGAACCACGTGCTGTGTATCAGCACTTCAGTAGAAAATTGTCCAAAGGATGATTATGGAAGAAGCCTGGTATTTTGGAAGTTTGAAAAGATAGAATGAATTCATTTTTTTGTCATTAAATGTAAACACTGCAAATGAAAGATTATAGTGCTGTGTCATCTGCCATTAACATAGCAAATTAACTGAAGACTGACTCGGCTACTATATGTATGTTAGGATTGAAAATGCTTGAAAATATTTTGTCCTATCCTCAGAAAATACAAAGCATTACTGCTACAAGTAATTTTAAAGCATAGGGCCTGTAGGGATAGGACAAGGGGTAGTGGTTTTAAAGTAAAAGGGGGTAGATTCAGACTAGAGATAAGGAAGAAATTTTTTACAGTGAGGGTGGTGAGGCACTGGCACAGGTTGCCCAGAGAGATTGTAGATGCCCCCTCCCTGGAAGTGTTCAAAGCTGGGTTGGATGGGGATTTGGGCAACCTGGTCTAGTTGAAGATGTCCCTCCCATGACAGGGCAGTTGGACTAGATGACCTTTAAAGGTGCCTTCCAACCCAAACTATTCTATTATACTACAATATTTCTAATATACACTGTAGAAAAATGTAGATTAATCATCTTCTATATAACAGAACTAAAAGTATTTTTTGAAACTGCAAAATTAGTGACCAGGATTCTATGATATCTGTGGTCCTCTCCATAGATCAGTACCAGAAGAGGCAGCTGCTCTTCATTTTACTTACTGTAAAAGTTTGCACACTGACTGTAAAGCAAACCAGGTTCTGGCAGTAGCGTTTCAGATGTCTGCTGAAAGTTAAGCTGCCAGTGTCTTTGATCTTCTATTTTTTTATTTCTCTTATGTCTTTTATTTCTTCTTCTATTCTTGTTCTTTTTTGTGCTTTTGCAGCACTTTTTGATGAGAGATACAATTTTCTTCTGTGCTTTGTTGCTGCCTTATTTCTTTTTAAATATTTTATGCTGCCTCTGTTAAAGCTTTAGTTACATCTTGACAGGGGCCATAGACTTGAAACATTCAATCTAAGGAAAAGCTTTCAAATGGAAATGCACAGTTATTCTGCTAAATTTCTTTCTACTATTAAGCCGTGGCTGCAATGTTTGTGTAGTTAACATAGAATAAAAATAGAGTGGATTAAGAGACCTCTTTTTGCTGTAACCCTTGAAGAGTTTATAGATCATGGATCATACTGCCTATTTAGACTTGCTGCTGGTTTCAGCTTTCCTTGCTGCAGAAGGTAATTAATTTTCCTTCAACAGCAAGTTGTTGCATAGGAACCAGCTAAAGTGGATTGACCCAGTGCATGGAGAGGAGGATTTGCCACTGTTGCGAGGAGTTTGAGTGGGCAAAATTTGCTGTGTGAAATCGTGGTTGTAGGGCTTAATGGCTTGTACCTATCCTGTGCTGAATATCTGAACATCCTCTTAACAGCAAGACCAGGACAAGACAGAACCATTATTGCTATCTCAGAATCCCAGTTCCTGGATAGGGATACACAATTCCTAGATTGACCACAAAAGGCACACGTATCTTAACATCCAGTTTGTGCTCAGCGAGCATCATCAAATGTTACATCATATTTTGCTTTTATTTTCAGCAAGACTAGGATATCTGCTGTTTTTCACAGGACTACTGCTGAATTCAGTGCAGGGAGGCAAAGCAAGGAGTTACTGATGGTTTCATACTTGTATGTGGGGAAAGTTGATGGTTTTACTTATTGCTAACTTTTCTAAGGAGCTCAGTAAATGTGATGGAGTTCTAAAGTCGATTTAGGTGGCTGCTCCTGTTTTCTTGGAGGGAATTTATTGAATAGTTTGCATGAACAAATTTCATCCTATCATTTGTGATCTAATCAAACTGATCAGAAAAGGGATTGGTAATGTGAACAATCTGGTATATTCTCTGCTAATTAAATGACAGATTTGGAACAGAAAAATAATAATTTTGCTATCAGTTATCATATGACAAATTACTTCAATTTGTTCCTAGGACTTGGAAGAATTTTGCTTCAGATTTTGCATAAACCATTTAACTGTTGTTACACAAACTCAAGGCTTTGCAGAAATGGACCACGACCTCCTGAAAAACTTCATTAGCAAAGCAAGCAGAGTGGGGGCATTCCGAAATTGACGTCTGACTACCACCAAGCTGAAGAGCACGTCCTTTTCCCTCCTGAAAATACTTCTCCTTTGGAGAACTTACCCATGGTCAGAATGTGCAAAGGTTTGGAAAGAAAGACTTAGTGTTCATTGGCTTAGGAAATGTGTAAAAGTCCGTTAACATATAGGTTTGTAAAGATGGCTACAGCATAGATGTATGGTGAGAGTTCGTTGCCAACAGTCAGAATTTAACAACAAAAATCTAATGCAGTAACTACCCTTTCCCACCTAAAGTCAATCAAACTAAACTATCATTATCTTGTCCGGTTTGAGGGGGTTTTTTTTGTTTTTGTTTTTTTTTAAACAATCTGTGTTTGGATTTTATGGGACAGTGACCTGTTTGCTGCTAAAACTTTCATAGTATACTTTTATCACCAAACTAAGTTAATATGCCATAGTGGGCTTCTTTTTGCCTGCTTTATTATCCGGTAAAGATACAAATTTGTTTTTCTGAACATAGGATAAAGTAATATAAATTCTTTAGGATGAGAGGCTTTCTGATTGGTGGGAGGATATGTTTCACTTGGTGGAGTGTAAATACATAAGCCATGAAGAGCTTGAGCTGGATGTTACAGTTTTGAGTTCCTGGCAGTTATGTCCATTGTTCTAGACAGAATGAAAAGTATTTTCTTTTCCATCACACCCAGCATGTTCCCTGGCACCCCAATGGTCCAGGAAATGTTCACAGTGTTTGTCTGGATGTGAATTATTGTGCTGTGTGTTTTGGTACTCAGAAAAACATCTGGTTGCTTGTTACCAAGAAAAAGAAACCCAAACAAAATCTCAAGGAAAGGGAGGTTCCACTTGAGGTTTGTTTATTCCTGCCTTACTATCTATCCCCAGATAGATCATCTTAAGAAAAAATGGAGAAAAAGATAGTTCTGAAGTGATAAATATGGGTCTTTCTTACAATTAAATCGTAAGAGTGAAGCTCACATTATTTTCCACATGGCAATAAAGACACTTTGTCCAAATACATTGTTTCAGGTTCTCCTTTGGTCAGTGCTGTGAGGTGACCATACCGCTTACCTTACATGCCTGTTTTAGGTGAGAGGAGTTGCCCTCTGGACACACCTCTGTCTCGTCACTGACCGTCGAGGGGACCGGATGGCTACGGTAGGGTAGATGCTTAATTTCTAACTGACTGAAGTGAGTTAAGATGAAACCCCACTCAGTGTTGCACAGGGGGAGGTTTGCCCCATTACAGAGGATGCTGAGCTCATGAAGCATTTACATGAATTTTCTAACAGGCAACTGTGAATTAACCCTGAGAAATTATTTCTTTTAAAATTTCGTCTGGGTGAAATGGCTCTAAAAGTGCCTTCTGTAGTATTTTACAAATGGAGAAGGCAAGAAGCTGGATGACCAGGCTCAGTACACTAATATAATTAGTCATGTGACCTTCCCTCAGATCCTTGCTGTGCCACAGAATCCTTCGATGACTTTTACTAATCCTGAAATGTGGTTTCTAAGAACCTGATTCTCTTAAATTATTGCAGCCTCATTTCCTCATTTCTAAAGTAGAAATAACTGTTCTTTATTATATTGGAGGATCATTTCTCAAACAATCCTGTTCCTTGAGGAGGATGAGAAGGAGAAGCACTTCCTCAGAGAAGATGAGAAGTAGCGAGTAGTGCCTCTCTTTCTTTACATCAGTCCCTGCGGGTGTGAGTGGAAGGGTGAGGCACGCAAACAGTAGAATTTACTTAGGAAGAGGGCCATAAGCAAATTATTTTGGAAAATGCTGTGGTAAAAAGTTATTTGTGTTTGAGGTATTTGCCTCAGACTCTCACTAGAAATATATTGGATCTACTGCTAACGAGCATGTTCTGCCACCCCCTCAGTGATTAGTACAACTTCCTCCAGCAGCGTAAGTCCGTACTTCAGCAGCTGTGTCAGTATTTTGTATTCAAACAGAACTGGTCAAAAACTTTCCAGTACATAATGCACTTTCATCAAAACCGCAGCTTCCTTGGGGAAAAAAATCAGTTTTGATGATAGGTTTGTGTTGAAAAGCACTTGACTCAGGCACACAGATAGAGGTTAAAGCAGACAGTAAAACAAGATCATGGTAGAGCAGAACTTTTCTGCAAATCTTATATGATAATAGCCCAGCACTAATCATGCCAAAGGCAATTCTACATAAGCCAAGGCTGGGTAATTCCAGATGTTTTGGTTAAGGCAAGGATGGCTGGAGTGATGTCTCTGCCCCTTTCAGTCCTGGGCTCAAGAACTGCCAGATTTACCTGCCAGCATGTGCTTAGCCGTAGCAGCCCACAGAAGGAGCATGCACCGCCACGGCCCAGCCTTTGGGTAGCACCTTGTTCTGGATCCTGCCCCAGGGACACGGCACTGCGCAGGCACCCAGCCAGCCTTGCTAGGAAATGGAACCTGTGCCGCTCACACGGGCCCTTTGGTCACTCTGGCCTTCCCAAGAAATGTACTATAAAAGGCCATTCTGAATGTTTCTGGTTTTTTACTTAAAAAAACCAAATCAAAACTGTAAGGGTGAAATGAGAGTTTTTAACTCAAGGTCTGATCAAAACCAGTCTCTGCTCAGTGAAGAGCCAGGTTCCCTGGAGACACCCCTCCATGGAGTGATAGCACTGAGCGTGATACAGCTCTCCTAAGCTGGCTTGAGTTCATAGCGCAGTAGTTCAACAACTCTAGTCAAAATGGCATGCTTTCTTAGCAAGATGGTTTTGGTTTCATATAGCCAATAGTACCAGGGTTTTTTCCAATTTATTTCCTTCCTGCTCATAATTTCCAATCACCTACTGTACCCATTAACTCCTAGTTGCAATTTCAGACTAATTGACAAAGCCTGTAATTTTGAGAAAAAGCATCTCTGGACTGAATGAGGGCGATTCTAAAGCTCCGGTGTGTCATTGTTGGCTTTTATTCATGCAGTGTGTATCATCAGCTGACCTATATGTGATAGCATTACATTCATAGAGACATTTATTTATTTAAAAATTTAAAATTTCATTTGCATGCACTTTCCTTGGCACTTAAAGGTCGATGTTTAAAAAACATACTGGCTTAGGTGGTTAAATGTGGCTGCATGTATATAAATATGTGCTTGAAACCCCCCGAGTGGGATGCTTTAGAAGAAATTAGGGATGCATTTTACCATTGTGAGATGGTCTGCAACAAACTTATGTTTGTGGATCTTGCAGGTTAAATACTTTATGAAGTATTTAAGTATGTAAGTATTTTGTTCTGTATTAGGACACCACAGACAAAAAGCTATTTGTTAAAAAGTGAAAATAAGGTCAAGAATAAACTGTATCTGGGGTTTAAATAAAGAGGGATGTTCCACTTTGTGGAAAGGGAACCGGGTGGATAACTTTCTGAATCAAATGGAATTTGAAAGAAAAAAGAAATGACAGGGCTAGAATCGTTTAAATGTTCTCTTAAGTTACTGAAGCTGAGCCAGCATTGCATTGTCATCTAGTACTCACCTGCAGAGTTTTGTTACAATGCCTGGTAACTATGTAAACTGGTGTTTTATGTGATCTGAACAGTTTCCATGGGCTTTCTTTGTAAAGCAAAGCATTTAATTACCCCATAGAGACAGGACTCACTGGCTATGACCTAATGATGTAGAAAGTTTACAGGCTGAACATAAAGTTATGTTTTGATTTCTTGGTTTTTTATAAACTTGCCTGGTTTTAATAAACCATTAATAAAAATGCCATAATATTTAAAAAGTATGAGTGGGATTTTTTTTTTCCCTTTTTTAGTAAAGTAAAAATAAAAAGTAAAGAAAGTGTGACATTTGTAAACTGAGTTGACTACATAGTTAGTAGTGTGGGGGAAAAAAAACCCAGAGATAATGTTTCAGAGACATATTTTAGAGACTCTGTTCTTCAGGCAATAACTGCCACCAGATAAAACATTTGTGAGCAGAATGAAAACTGAGTCTGCAAAAAAAAGAGCTGGAGAATTTGCATAAGTGTATTTCCACCTTTCAAAGAAATTAATGCCCTAGTTACTTAATGATTAATAAAACTGTCCTCAAAACACCGATGTTCTGGTTTCAGCTGAGATCAAGGTAATTTTCTTTCTAGTAAAGGGTATAGTGCTGTGGTTTGGATTTAGGATGAGAATAACGTTGATAACACATTGGTGTTTTTAGTTGTTGCTGGGTAGTTGTAGTGTCTACACCCAGTCAAGGACTTTCCAGATGCACAGGGAGCTGGGAGAGCACAGCCAGGACAGCTGACCCAGCCTGGCCCAAGGGACATTCCCCACCATAGAGCGTCATGCTCCGGACAGAACTGGGGAAGCGAGCCAGGAGGTGGGATTGCTGCTTGGAAACAGACTGGGCACCAGATTGTTTTATTTTCCGTTCACATGCAGTGAGCAGTTGCATTTGTGTATCACTTACTACTGTTATTATTCTCTTCCTTTGTTATCCTATTAAACTGTCTTTATCTCAACCCTCGAGTTTTTTTGTTGTTTGGTTTTTTTTGTCTGTTCTCCTCCCCATCCCCTTGAGGAAGGGAAAGGGGTGAGCGAGCAGCCGCATGGTGCTCAGCTTCTGTCAGGGACTAAACCACAGCAGTCCTTTTTGGTGCCCAATGTGGGGCACAAAGGGTTGAGATAACAACAGATCTGACCCGAGCATGTTAAAACAAATTTGTTACACGCATTTATTATATTAATTGTCACTAGACGTGTTGTTTTAGTTGTTCTCAAGAGTTGTGTCATGTAACACCTTACTTGCCGTATATCCTGGTTATCAGTGTTTTATGTGTCGTTTGTCACAGCTGGGCATCGGATTAAGGTTACTGCTCTGCTGTTGGGTGTACTACTGGCTTATGGGATAAAATCATTGGTAGTCAGACCAGTTTTGTGTTTGTTGCCCCTACGTAAGAAGAAATGGACACAAAAGTCAACTCATTCAGTAAAGAATGATGAAACAGGGCCATCGCCACAACAGGAGGAAGAGGCAGAACCAGAGGCGACCCACCCAATGCTTGTCCCTGAGTGTGAGGCGAGATATGCAAAGATTTCAGACGGCTTCCAGGCAAGCACATCCTGACCAAGCTGCTCCAGTGCTGGGATAGCAGAGCAAGTTGCTTGGAATTAGAGGGTAGGGAGACCAAGCAGCTGGGATCCCTGTCAAGGGAAGGGGACATGGACAAGGCCATTGGGGAAAAAGGCACAAGCCCTCTGCCTCTGGCTGTCAGGTGTGAGGGAAAGGTACCCCTTCAGTGAAGTTTTTGAGAAAGGGAAGAAAATAGTTCAAATCCTTCTGAAAGCTGATTTAGCCATAAAACTAAGGTCAAGAGACCTGCACATGAGATCCAGTTTTTAGGAATAAAATGACAAGATGGGTGCTGTCAGATTCCAATGGATGTGGTAACAAAATAGCAGCCACGTCTCTGGAAACACAGGCTTTCTTAGGCATTGTGAGTTTCTGGCAAATGCGTATTCCAAAGTGCAGTCTGATTATAAGCTCTATCAGGTGACCCAGAAGAAGAACGATTTCAAATGGGGCCCTGAGCAACAACAAGCCTTTGAACAGATTAAACAGGAAATAGTTCATGCAGTAGCCCTTGGGCCAGTCTGGGCAGTACCGGATGTGAAAAACGTGCTCTACACTGCAGCCGGGGAGAATGGCCCTACCTGGTGTCTCTGGCAGAAAGCACCAGGGGAGACTTGAGGCCAACCCCTGGGGTTTTGGAGTCGGGGATGCAGAGGATCTGAGGCCTGCTACACTCCAACTGAAAAAGAGATACTGGCAGCCTGTGAAGGGCTTCAAGCTGCTTCAGAAGTGATTGGTACTGAAGCACAGCTCCTCCTGGCACCCCGACTGCTGGTGCTGGGCTGGATGTTCAAAGAGAGGGTCTCCTCTACACATCATGCAACTGATGCTACGTGGAGTAAGTGGGTCACACTGATGACACAGCGGGCTCGAATAAGAAACGCCAGGGTTGTTTCTGAAGCAAATGTTCGCATATTTTAAAATGAAACAAATAAGCTAGTCATAATGTACTTGTACTTTGCACCAGTATGACCCAGCCATGATCTTCTCCAGCTGTTTCACATTTGACCCAGGTACCTTCCTGCAGCCACTCCTGTACTCAATATGCAGTTTGCACATTCCAGTACCTGTGAGGAACTTGCTATTTACTACAGCCTCGCTGGATAGCACTGCGCAAGCATGGAATGCTTCACTTGCAAGTCAAATGCAGGAAGAAATAAGTTCCTCTGACATGTAAGAACAAACAGCACTTGGAAACAGGACAGCAGTAAGAGATTAAGGTATAAAACTGCAAATAAAAAGGCAGGGAGTCAGCTCATACCTCTCCAGATGGCTACACAGTCAAGCCAATAGATTAAATTCCCCTCAGCATCAATGGTGAGGAACAGGCCTTTCTGAGATTCAATTCACTTGACCTCACTGCACACACAGAGCTTAGGCTGAGACAAATTTTCTCCACAAATACATGTTTCTCCACAGTGATTAGAGGAAGAGTTTGATCAGTGGTACAATCCTTACCATCAGGCACCTAAAACACCTGTCCCATTTTCTGTCCAACGAATCCTAATTTAGTTTTTTCCTGGAATACAGTTTCAGTATTCTACATCATTTTGAATGCAATGAGGTCTTGCTATAAGAAAGGTACCCTCAAACATAGCAAGATTTCCAAATCTGATTAAAAGCCATTAGTTTCAATCCACATTTATTTGCATATGTATCTGCTTAAAAATAAGACTCTGAAAATGTGTTTTTAGAGGGGGCAGGGACTGGCAAGTCAGCCAGTGCACTTTGTGCTCTAAGCATTGTCATTAACACTGACGCTATAAAGAGCACTGCAAGTTCAGCAGTTTGAGTCACAGGCACCTATGGACTCAATAAAACACGGACAGGGAGCCTGTGAAGCTGAGGTGCCTACAGCCAGATACCTGGCCCAGAAAGCCATGCTGGCTTCCACCAGAGTTTTGACATCCTGGGCTATTTCCAGCCTTCCATTATCTGAAGGGTCCTGCAAGAAATCTGGAGAGGGACTGTTGACAAGGGCATGGAGTGACAGGACAAGGGGTAATGGCTTTAAGCTGAAGGAGGGTCGATTTAGATTAGATGTTAGGAAGAAATTCTTTACTGTTAAAGTGGCAAGGCACTGGCACAGGCTGCCCAGAGAGGTTGTGGAGGCCCCCTCCCTGGCAGTGTTCAAGACCAGGTTGGATGGGGCTTTGGGCAACCTGGTCTAGTGGAGGGTGTCCCTGCCCATGGCAGGGGGGGTTGGAACTAGATGACCTTCGAGGTCCCTTCCAACCCAAACCATTCTATGCTTGTAGCAGTTCTGCGAGTGAAAATCAATTAAGAAAAGCAGGGTGGTGACATGATGGGAACTCTTCTAAATGTGGACACAAATGTCTCTGAAGCACTGCCTCAGGCACCTCTGTGAGGGCTGTGACAATGACCCAGACCATGATGCAGACCTGCGTCTGCCCGAAATGCTACCAGTGGTGATCCTGGAACAAAAGGTCTGGCGAGAGTGACATTTCCAAAACATCCTATGGAAACTTCTGAAGGTAACTACAAGCCCAACAGCAGAACTATTTGAATCTCTGCACCAAGAGGGAATCACTGGAGATGGAGTGACATCTGCTTCTACCAGCTGCAGAATCCTGGTGGAAGTGTGGTACAAAAGGACATTATTACCATATGAAGTCACCTTCTCATCTAATCAAAGAAAATTACCAACTATAAATCTTTTAAAATCTATTTTATTTATCTTGAAAGGAGAGAAAATGATTAGTTGTATAAAATATTATTGTACATTTGATGTAAAGCCTTCAGTCTGTTTGAACAAAAGAAAAAAAAATACATTGTCACAGTAAAGAAATAATATATCTGTTTAGGTACTGGGCTCTAATGTCACTCCTCTAGCCAAAGGATCATGGAAGAACTTCAGCTGCTGTAACAGAGCTTATGGTCAGTGTACCCCAATGTTAACATACATTCTGTCTGTAAGACTCTGTAGAAAGCGAGAAAATAAACATCAGGTACTCTCTTAACACTTCTGTACATTTTTTCAGGAAGAAAGTTGAAGCCATATTGAGACTAAAAAAATAATTCCATTTTATTTTGAAATTAATTGATAAATCAGTGTGCTGCTCATAGAATTTTTAGTAGCTCTAGGATTAGCTTCTGTTCAACACAAGAACTGATCTTTAAAATGTACTACTATAAGTATGCTAGGTCATCAGCTGAACAATTTCTGAATAAGCTACCCGGAGAAGATGTTGTTCTAAAATGTTTGTGTAATGAATAGCATGCTTTTCTACTATAACTGGTTTAATTTAAGTAGCTGCAAAAGCTAAATTTCATAAAAATGGGTAATTTTACAGCAAGACTTTATTGATGCATATTTTAGTCCACTGGAAGTAAAACATGTGCTTTCCTTAACTGGCTATTTTGCAAACACTTTGCCATTGCAAGAAAAATTCCAGTATCTTAATCAGTAACTTACAAACCCGTAAGACGAAAAAAGTTTTGGGTTGTTTTGGGGTTGGTGGTTGATTTTTTTTTTTGTTGTTTGTTTTGCTAGTTGCAACAGTTCACAAGTTGCTGGTTAAACTCTGCCTTTTCAGTAAAATATGGCAGACTGATTTTCCCAACATGGGCTCATCAAGTTCAGCTTTTGTGCAGATGCTGCGGTGAGGCCAATGGGAGATGCCCCCTGCTTTTAGCTGCCAGGCTACTCTTTTTCACCTATAACAAAGAGGTTTGGTGCGTGTTTCGCAAGCTATTTGGTGAATTTTATACAGTTAGGTGAAAATTTGAAGAAATCAAGAAAATTCTACATCATTAGAATTTCAAAATCTCATGTGTACCAGGAGGGATTGAGGTTTGGGGTTCTTTTTTCTTTTTAATAATTGAGATTTTCCAAACTAAGAAAGTGCACATCAAGTGCCCTGAATATGGGAAAAAGCTTCAGCTTCTGGGAGGATTCTCTGTGGGATTCATATTCCATGAAATTCAAACTGATGGACAGTGTAACTGCCCTCTGAAATTACACTGGAGCGAGAGCTGGGGAGGGAAAAACTACAAAATGCTAAGTTTTCAGTAGTACGGCTACGTAATGAGTTCACTTTGAATTCAGGTTGTAATTTTTATGCAAGGCTCTGACTCCGCAAGGTCTGTGACTGCTGTGCAGTTTAAGTTAATGGGAATTCGATGTGCTAATTATATACAGACACAGAAATCTTTGCACTATCTGGCTCCTCATTTTCAAAATTTGCAAGTAATGAAAAATCTAAAAATGAAATCTAAGAAACAACATTAGTGCATTTCAAATAATTCTAGCTAAAATTTTCTCTTTAGACAGAAAAATTCAATCTAAGTAGACTGAATTGGCTTAAATCAGTAATGTTGCAATAGGAAACTAAAATGCCTTCCAAGTCTGTTTTTCCAAGTCCTCAAAAAAATATATAAATTAAATTCAGTGGCTTACATTGTATACATGCTACATCATAAGGCAAAGTATCATGAAAACCATTAAAAAATTTAAAAAGTCCAAATGCTGTAAACTACCAGTTCGGAATAAAAAGCAACTAAAAAAGCAACTCAATGAAGGCTGTAAAAACAAAAATAATCTAAGCGGGCCTGCAGTGCAGCCCCTGGTCCTGAGAAGAATCTCACTTTTTTTCACTGGCTGAGGTATCATTTCCATCATTCAGTTTCTGCTTTTGCATTCTTGTTCGAGTAGATGCTAAAAAGAAAAAAAAAAAAAGAATGAAGTTAAATAGTTTTTTCAGAATTACTTGGGACGCGACTATTTCTTGTAAAAATTAGTAATGACACAAGGAATTGAATGACACTATTCTAAATAAAACAAATCACACATTTTAAAAGCAATTCTGAGTTACTTCAGCAATTCCCGCTCAATCTCACACATCTCAAATTCATTCTACCTCTTTGCTGAATCTCTCATTGCTTCTGTACCCTTGCTTTGCCTGTTTTCATCTTAAAGACAAGCCAATGGACTGCATCACATCAGGATCCCGGCTCGTTGCCAGGCAGATGCAATGGGCTGAGCGGTCCCTGCATCCCACAGCAGAAATGCCTTTTCCCCTCAGTGAGACACTAACACAAGTGGACGTGAAGTAAAACATCCCTTCTTATCCTCTGCCACAAGTAAATACTGAAATGTTTCCTCTACCCTAAAACAAACAAGAGGTGCCTGGACCCGTAGTCATACCTATCCTGACAAACACACGCTTCCTAGGTAAGAATTTTTAACAGGCAAATCCGCTCAGCTGCAGAGCTCGGATTCCACCAGAGAGTGAGAATGCCCGGTCAGACCAAGCGTGTTCCTTCTCAGGAGGGGAAACTATCAACTCGGATGTGGGGAATAGGATGGTTTGCTTCTCATGAGCTAGATTTCAATTTTATTGGAAAAACAGAAAAGTGATCCCAGAAAATCTGAAAGAAATGCTGATCTGCAGTAGAAGATAAAGCAGTCTGCTGTCTTTTATACTAAAATGCCTGAAAGCAACAGACAAAATGACGGACAATTTTAGTCTGTATATAATTTTCCTTTACTATACTGTAATTGCCTAAAAAAGTGTTCTGGTCAACAAAACACTGCTGCAATTACTACTGATTTCTACCTGCAAGCTCTCAGCTAGGGGTCTGTCTCTGGAACCAATCGGAAAGCCTTGGCAAGCATTTAATTCCATTTCAAGAATTCTAGTGTTTAGGAAAAATGCACGTCATGCTGGTTTTCTTATTCACATGTGATATAGCATCTTCTATATTGCTGTGCCATTTAATATCCTTTACAAGGCTTTTGAAGATTTCCATTTTATAATCTGCATTTTCAAGATTAAATGGAACAAGTACAAACAACCTAAGCCAGTTACCTAAATGGTATCAGTGTTGAGCTATGTTTTCATCTGAAAACAAACTGTTTCATCCAAGGTACTCGCTGCTGTGCAGTTAATGAAAAAAATACTACTCACTCATTTCTGCAAGCTTTTGTTGGAATTTGGACTCCTGGGGTAGGTGTTTGCTGCAGATAGAAAGCATTTGATTAAGTGGAAGTTAAAAAAACAGACAAACCCTTGATTTTTATCCCAGTAAACCTATAAATAAAAAATGAATCAAGGCTAGTTCACTTCAGTGCTATTGCCTTCTCTTACAAAGATGCAAACTCTTTTCTCCTCCATGCTAAAGAGTTGCTTGATTTCTCATACATATAAAAAAAATGGGGTTTGTTTTGTAAAAGATTGACTAAAGACAACAGCATGGTTTAGCACTCAGCAGTAACACCAGGATGCTGGATGTATAGGCACTAAGTCAGTCCGTACTTCTGACATCAGTGTCCAACTGAGCAGTATGATGCTACCATCTCTCATTTAATATATTTACTAAAGTTGACAAATTAACAGAAGTTAGGATGTCAGGAAGACGTTAGCATTGAAAGTCCCAAGAACCAAATACATTTAAGTTTACTGAAAAGCCGAGAACAATCTCTTACCTTCCGTCTGCTTCGTCTTGCCCTTCTATATCAAAGCGCAGCCTCTTCAGTGGCTTAGGAGCAGCGCTTACCTCTGCGCTGCGTTTTAGCTGGCAGTCGCTGTTGCACACCATCTGGTTTATCTTTTGAAACTTTTCAGAAGTCTGAAGTTACAA